CTGTTGGTCTCCTCATCGCGGCGCAGCAAGTCGCCTCCAAAGCACTACATACAATACCCCGCACAGGCAGATCGACGGCGACCTGCTGCAGCGCTGCACGGGTTCCCACGACGACGATGCCTCCCCCTTCCAACATCCACCCGCCCACCCTACAAAGGACACACAAGTCCTTTAAACACATACATACGTACATACATACATACATACATACATACATACATACATACATACATACATACATACATATACACGGGGGGCCCCTAACACGCGCGCACCTGGTACGTGGCCCTGGCAATGGCCTGCAGCCTCCTCAGCTGCCACTCGGCGACCCCCGACCCCGCGGACAGCTGCTGGTGGAGCCGCTCCATCTGGCTCAGCTGCTCGTCGGACACAGGTCGACCGCTGCGAGCCATCTGGGGGCCGGGGGGGAGGGGGAGGAAGGGGAGGGGGAGGGGGGAAGAGGGGGAGAGGTGCATTATGAAATAGCGTGTGAAGGAAGCACATCCTCAACATCCGAAGGAGGAGGCCGAACGGTGGGGGACAGTGTGGCCAACCACGTGTATGTATGTATGTATGTATGACTTGGATTACACTATGGGCCGCGAGAGCCGGGGGCCGAAGCCGAAACACAGCGCAAGGGTCGGGAGCACACAGCACAAGCCGGTTAGTCTTGTGTGCTCTCCACCACCCCGACTCAGACTGCTGACCCACGACGCAGCCGGTCAGCAGCACCTCTGTCCGGGGAAGGCGCCGCAATGAAGATACGACGGTTTACCTATTCTGTGCATGGTTGATTTATGTGGGCGGAAATCATGTGGGCAATATTACGGAGACAATGCACACAAGGGATCCGGACCCCACACCCTCACCCTCTCCCTCCCCCACGCACACACCCGCCGCTCCGGAACCCACGCACCCGAAGCGTCATGGCAATCAGACGGCGGCGCAGTGTACGACAGTCCTCCCGGAGGTCCCTAACCGCCCGCTCAGCCTGGATCCCAACAATGGGGCGGAGAGGGGTGAGGGGGTCAGGGGTGGAGGGGTTGAGGGGGAAGGGGGGAAAGGCCTCGCGTGTATCTCTCGGTCTAAGACAGGGGGAAAGGGGGAGTAGTGGAATACGGCGCGGGTCGCAGCGGAGTACAGCGGGAAAGCATTCGTACGTGCTGTGCGTGTGTGTGTATGTACGTGCTGTACGTCAAGGTGCCGTCCCCACGGTGGGGCACAGCTGATACGGGAAGCGGAAAAAGGGAGAAGAAGAAGAAGGAATGGGAGGAGGAGGAGGAGGAGGAATGGGAGAAGGGGGAGAAGGCGGGACAGCTACAGACCACCTCAGGCATCCCGAGCGCCTTCTTCCGAGTCCTGGAGGACTTGTGCAGCTGGCGGCTGGCCCCGGGCCCTCCCTTCTTTCCCTTCCCTTCCCTCCTCGCCCCCATCGCCTCACCTTGGCTCGCTGCGCCAGAATGCCCTGCATGGTACCCGCTGTCACGGAGTTGTACCGCTCACATGTGTACGGCGATAGTTCCGTACACAGGTGTACGACCACGTCAAAGTGCCAGGGCCTGTCGCGCTCGTTCATGAGGTCCCAGAACTTCTTGTATCGAACCTGCAGGACCCCGGATACACATACATATCTACATACAGACATACGGCATGTGAGGAAGCCAGTCAGCCAGCAAGCAAGCTTGACATCCATACATCCATATATTCATAAAGTCATACATACAGACATATATACATACATATACGATCAAATGCAGCCGTTATTTCCCCACAGCCCCACAGGAGAAACAAGGTCTTCGCAGCTCTCCCCAAACCCACCTTAGCCAAAACTAAACCAGTGAACGCGCATTTACACAAACACCCACACCTACATCCGCATCCGCATCGCAACGTCAATGACAAACCCAAACCCACCTTCATCCGCATCTCTTGTATTTCCTGCGCCCTGTCCTGGCCTAGCTGCTGCACCTCCTGCGGCCCCATGCCGTTGAGGATCAGCTTGTGACGCAGCCGCTTCCAGTCCTTCTCACGCTCCACCCGAAGGTGGTCGTACAGCAGCGACCCCGCCTCGCGCTCCCACTGCGGTCGTGGGCCAACAGCCACCACCGGGGCAGGCGCGGGGTGGGGGGCGGGGGAGGTGTGGGTGTATAGAGGAACGACCTGCTGCCTACCGTCCTCGGGCAGCGCCAAGATTGGTAATAGGATAAGGCATCAGGGGGAAGTGGAAGGAGGGTACCAGCAGCAAGCCAAGGCGCTCAAGGAGGGAGCCCTGTACACGGGATGGAGCTGGGGTTCAGGAAACCACCACACGAGGGCAGTGCTGGAAGGCAGCAGCAAGCGCGCGGTTGTCCGGGTGCCGGGTACCCTGTCCGGGGGCTGGGGCCCCTTTCCAATCCCTGCAGCGCACCCGTAGGACGCCTGCACCGGTGCCGAAGGGCTCGGGGCCGCCATAGGCGTGCCGGGGTGCTCTCAGGGCAGCAGGGGGGACTGGGCAGCGTGGCTGGGTTTCTGACATGGAGCCGGCGCAACGCGGTGCCATTTGCGGCGGTGCCAGGAGGATGGGAGGTTTGCGGCCTGGGACAGCCTCCGGGCGGCCCCGACCGCTTGCCGAAAGCCTTGTTCGGCATATTTGCTGTGAGTCCATGAACATTTTATCAGGTGGAGAATGCTGGCAGCGGAGCAGACTTGATAATTGTTGCCAAAAGAGTAGTTTTACGTCTGTTTGAGTGAAGGTATATGCACACGGCAGATCAGAAGTGCAAATTTAACCGGTCAGTATGATAAAAGTTGGTTATGATGTGAGTTGCGTGTGATAAGCCCTTGCCTGGGAGGCTCCCTGACTGGTTCTGGTTACCAAGCCATGCTTTTGTTTTGTAAAGATGTTCACTTTATCTATTATGACGAGTGTAGTGCACAAGCCATTTTATCTCCATGGCAAAAGCAGCATCTTTCCAAGAGATTGCATTCAACATGAAGCTTCAAGAATTGCACCTGAATATCAGTATGATCTATGAAATATAAGTATTATTTCAGGAGGCAGTACAATGCAAGCAGTCATCCATCTATCCGCTAGACGTCGAGCAACTTAAGCCTCGATTAGGGTTTCCACAACTTCGCCAAAGGTCGCAACTTGCGACTCGCAAGACCTTATTGACCCCAAACGAGCCAGCAGCTTCATATGGACAGCGCGGTGTCGTTGAAACCCGAGAACAACGCAGACATTACCATGAAAGGCCCTAAGCGGAAAGTGCCAGCCGAGCACGACACCGCACGGTACGACAGCTCGCAGCATCCCCAGCAGCCCCCAACATAACACAGCACAGCACAGCACGATGGGCCTTAGTACATGCATAACCCAGCACAAGAAGCACATCCTCCACAGGATGGCAAAGGCTGGAGGAAATCAGCGGCAAGTACAGCTTTTTGGGCTCCATGATGCCCTTTAGCGTTCCCTGATCGGCTGGGCTCACTTCACTTCAATGCAACCTGGGTGGAAAGCATCTTGGGGGGCTTGCCAGCGCCTCACCAGGCTGAGGCACCAGCGGCGAGCCAGTGGTGTCGACGTAGCGTCTGCGCAAAAATGGGGACACCACAGGGGAGGTAACGGGGGGATTTATGCGGCGCACGTGCTCGCTGGCCGAAACACCGAAGTCCCTGTGGCCACTCAGGGCGATGCAGCTTTTGAACCCGGCCGAATCGGATAGCCCGTGAAAGGAGGCCACGTGCTTCATGCAACTGAAGTTATTCAGCGTGTTGCATGGTCGCGAGCAGAAATGCAAAAGGGGGTTAATGTTTCCTTGCTAAGGAAATTGGACGTGATGTTTGCTTTGCTCCGTAAACCCCAGAACTTTGGCATGTCGTCCCCGCGTTTAGGTTATCTTCGAATGGCAAAAAGAGCGTCATTGTCTGCTGATTACCTTTGGGGAGCATGCACGTGCCGATTGAAAGAACCGGTATCGTAAAGTACAGCGCAATCCAGCAAGTAAAAGACGAACCTGTCTACATTTATGATTTGCACTCTATTACGTTGCTTGCTCACGCTTTTCGATTAGCTTGTTACGCTTTTGAGCTGGTCAGTCTTTTTGTATTCCCGCAAATGCTCGCTCGGTTGGGGCTTTCGGCTAGGGGCTCCTCCTCTGGGGGTGCCGGCATGCTTCAACATGTAAGCGTATCGTAGCTTACCGCTTTTGCATTTGCTGCCTAAGATGGGTCCGTCCGTCGCCGATTGCTATTTGCTATAGCACGTGCCGTTCGACACAGGCAAGGGGGTTGATTACCAGTTATCTTCCATCGCCAGGAGATGCGGCTCCACAAGTGGTGAGTATATCCCTAAGCACTCGGGCTGAAAGGGCATCCCGGCCAAACGCGTACATCATGCCGCCCTCGTTTAGACGACGACGCACTGCTCGCTTACCTGGCTCGCTTACATTGGTTCCATTTAAATTTCAGCACGTAACTTCATAAAGAGACAGGAATTACGCTATAGTCCCTTGTATACGGACTCCTTCGCAGCAACTCGTATCTCCACTCCTCGCACCATCAGCACCCTCCGAAACGGTTCTCAATGAGTTGCCCGTTTCCCTTGCACCTCACAGCTTTTATCCAACGCTTGTGCACGCATGCATTCAGGCCTTCATGAGAATATGGCTTTCGCCGCTTTGCAGCTTTCGTCATATAACGCACATGCAATTGTACTTTACAAAAAACCCAACCTACATCCCCCCACCTCCCATACATTCACATACACACACACACTGCTTGCACACACATTCACACACACATTCACACACACATACATACACACACACGCATGCCCCCTCCGGTAGGTGACCCTGATTCCCGGAGATGGCATCGGTCCCGAAGTTACCAAGAGTGTGGTGGACGTGGTGGCGGCCATGGGGGCCCCAATCACCTGGGAGCGGTACGTACGGCATCTGTCTCAGCGCATGTACGACATGTGTACGGCATCATTTGCATGGCACTGCACTGCACTAAACTTTATAGATATTATCGCGGTGCCGTTGGTCATGGGGCCTTCAGGTCAGCAGTCCAGCACAGGAATGCAGTAATTGTAAAAATAATAATATAAAACGCAGAAAATTACATATTTTGAAAGAACGCAAAAAAAATAATGAAAAGCGCACAAGTTATACTATGATATCGACACCCAATGGCGACGTGCCGTTGTGCCGCAGCAGCACAATGTTGGGTTCTTACACTTTGAACCTCGTATATGTGCGTGTGTATATATGGAAGTTTTGTGTGCGTTGACGATACCGTACATGTGCACCGTACTCAGTACGCCGTACGTCGTATAATACTCGTGTCGTACGCAGGTTCGACTACCTATCCGGTTCTGAGGACGGTAAGGTCCCTCGTACCTCCGTACCCAAGGAAGTCCTGGACTCCATTCGCCGCAACGGCGTATGTCTCAAGGTACTGCACTGTACTGCATTGTACTGCACTGTACTGCCGCCACGGGGCCTCACACCCGCCATGTGACTCAGCGGGGGTGTTGGGGTGCGGGAGCCACACCCCCGGGATATGATGAGATTGGGATTTCCTGCAATGGGTTGGGGAATGTGTTTGGATCCGGATTATTGGACCCGGGTTGCCATCCACCAAGTGGTGCCGTACGGAGCTATGTACGGCGGACCAGATCCCCTTGACCGCAAGTGCCTGAGGTGGGGCCTAGCCAGCGGGGGCGTTTCGCCCGCACTAGCACGCACTGGGGGCCGGGGGGTGAGGGGGGGGGGATGGCCGGGGGGAAAGGGAGAGGGCGGCGGCCCCTCGGGGTTAGGTTAGGGACCAGGGGGGGAGGGAGGGAGGGAGGGGACACGAACCGTGGCCAACGAGTGTCAGAGCAGCTCCCCCTTTCCCCCCACCTTCATCACCCTAAAACTCCCACACGTCCTGACAACCCGCCATGTTGTTCTGTCTGTCTGTCTGTTTCCTGTTTTCCCGCTAACCCCCTTCCCCTTTTTCCCCTGTGTGTTTTCCTTCCCTCCCCTCCTCCCCTCCCCTTACCCCCCAAACACACGCACATACACACACACCCCGCCTGTCAGGGTACTCTGTTCACTCAGCTGGACAAGAACAACACCAACACGCAGTCGCTCAATGTGCAGCTCAGGAAGGATCTGGACCTGCACGTTAACGTACGTACGTTTGTACGTATGTATGTGTGCTGTGTCTGCACGTACGCGTGTCCGTACGCCGGTTGGTTGGGGGTTGATGGGGGGCCCCCGGTCGCGGGGCAGTCTTCCCCCGGGGGGCTTCTGGCCCTGGTAGAGTACGGGGGGAAGAGGGGAGAGGGGGAAGAGGAGGGAGGGTAAGGCCGTTGGGGCCTGGGGTGTTGATTTGTGGGGGAAATGGAGGGAGGAACACTCTCCCTCTAGCAGGAGGAGAGGGTGTGTGTGTGTGTATGGAGGGTCATTCCCTTCGTGACCCGGTCTTTTTCCCCTCCCCTACCTTCTCCTCCCCTCCCCTCCCCTCCCTAACCCCCCGTTCCCCCGGCCGATAACCCCGTGTCCCCGCGGATAGGTGGTGCACGGCTACTCCATACCCGGTCTCAGCACTCGGCACTCGGGACTGGATATTGTGGTGATTCGGGAGAACACGGAGGGGGAGTACAGCGGACTAGGTGAGGGGGTCGGGGGGGCCCCGGGGGGGGGAGAAGTGTTGGGCGGGAGGGGTCCGGGACTGCATTCTGTGTTAATACATGCGATCCTGTTTGTGCGTATGTATATGTGTGTGTAAATGTGCATGTGTGTATGTATGTACATGACTCGTGTGTCCTGTCTTCATACTTCATGTGCATTGCTTCTCGATTTCGATTATGGCATCGTGTGCATTCGTTTTGTTTATTAAACAGCAATTCCACCCACTTCGTCTTTGCATGTATGTATTACAAAAAAACATAATATACACTTGTGTGTTTCCTCTCCTCTGCCCAACTTCCGGTCCTAACTTGGCAATGGGTGGGACTGGTCAGAGCACGAGGTGGTGGATGGCGTGGTGGAGAGCCTCAAGATTATCACGTACGAAAAGTCGTTGCGTACGGCACAGTACGCCTTCGAATTCGCGTTCCTTAACCATCGCAAGAAGGTATCGGCCATCCATAAGGCCAACATCATGAAGCAGGGCGACGGCCTCTTCCTAAAGGTAGGTGGTGGGCCCGTCCGTGTGCGTGTATGTGTGTATGTATGTATGTGTATGAGGCGGGGGGAGGGCGACGGCGGCTGCAATTGCCTTACGATGGCCTCACAGCCGGGAAAACACAAGTGGGCATGTTAAAACCCTGAAGCATGAGCACGGGGGATCCCCGGGGCCGGGGAAGACGGGACCCCTCCCCCTCCCCCTTCCCCCCCCAGCGTCCACCGATGCTGGCTCCATCCCGGGGTAGGGTGGGGTGGGGTGGGGTGGGGTGTTTCAGCAATCTCGCTATGTACTGTTACCCCCCGTACTGCAGGCGTGCCGCGAGGTCGCCCGCAACTTCCCCCGCATCCAGTACGAGGAGGTCATTGTGGATAACACCTGCATGCAGCTCGTGGGCAGGTAGGATGGCGGGCAGGGGGGGAGAAGATGTCGAGAGATGCGGGAAATGCCGATAATGGCCGTACACCGGAGGATAAATAACATCCGCATATCATCGTATCTAGGGGTAGCTGCTGGAGTGTTTTAAGAAGATGCTGAAGGACAGAAGCGTGATATCCCAGGCTGTAGGAATGAGAGGCGCTGTAGTAGGGAGGGGCGCCTGTGTGGCTATGATTTATGGAGGGATGGAGGATGGATGGAAGGTGGAGGGATGGAGGATGTATCTATCATGTGAGGAAGTGTCGTATGACGGTGAAGAGGTTGGTGTGGGGTATCATGCTATCCGTTGCTCCGACCGCTACTCATTCTCATATCTATCTATCTATCTATCTATTTATCTGTGTTTTGTTTATACAGGCCCCAGCAGTTCGACGTGATGGTGACTCCCAACCTATACGGCAACCTGGTGTCGAATGTGGTGGCGGGCCTGTGCGGCGGTTTCGGGGTGGTGCCCGGCGGCAACATCGGGGACGGCGTGGCTGTGTTCGAGCAGGTAAGGCCGGCCCCGGCACGATCATGAGATGGGAAGATGGACCCATGGGTCAGTGGGGTGGGCTGGGATGTGGACATGAGTTGCGTCTTGGCAACCCACACCCCCCCACACACACGCCTACACACACACGCCCCCCCCCAACACACCCAACCCCACACGCTCCCCCCCCCCACACACA